TGAGCGCTCTCGCGCACGTCCTCGGGCCTCAAAGGAAGCTGATGGCAGCGCTGCTGTACCTTGGAGGGGCGTCTTTCGAGGAGTGCCAACTAGAGAAATCAGCTCAGCAGTCGCCGAGTTGGGGGGTCTGGAGATCGACGATGCGAGGAAGCATCGTGGGCCCATCGCTGCCACGCGCGAGCTCGAGGAGACAGTGATGCGAGATGTGTCAGCTCTCATGTCTAATCCTCGGCCATGGGCAGCAGTGCGCCCCCATTTCAGGGCGAGGGTTTTGCGGGCCAAAGCTTTCCAGGCGCTTTCCATGCGCTTGCGCCTCGCAGCGGAGATGCGCGCCTTCCACAGGGGGTACCCCTTCGAGCTGTCCAGGTTGCTCATCACTCCTGACGACGCGACCTTGCTGGGCGAAATCCCATCCGGGGAACGCTTGTGGTGCCCGTGGTCAAAGCAGTTCATAGAGACCTGGTGCCAGGACGGGATCTCGTCAGTCTTGGCGCTGGTCGATCTTCGCGTCGCTGTGATCATGGCCCTCTTCGACACGTCGGCATTAGAAGCCAAGCGCGCTGCAGTGCGCAGCGCACTCGTCGGTCTCAGCAACCAGACCCATGCCCCCGAAGCGGATGTCATTTCTGCAATGGAGGTGCTGAGGTTGTATCGGAAGCATGTCACGCGTTTAAAACCATTATTGTTTCCAGACCATGCTGGCGGTGACCGCGACCAGCCCGACGGCGCCGACCACGCCGTGAAAGCTGGGGGCGCCTCGAGGCGCAAGGGCGGCGGCGGGGGCCCGTGGCGCTGCTGCGTGGCGGACAACCCCGGCATTGGCGACCTCGGGCTTCTCGCAACTATGCACTGGGGTCTGTCCGATGCCGAGCGCGCTGGCTCGGCGGGGAGGGGGCGTGATGGCGCTCTCGGGCGCGGGAAGGGCGAGGAGAGCTTCCGCGGCAAAGCTCGGGGCCGCGAGCGCTGCGCGAAGAGGCAGCGGACTGACGGCAAGAAGATCGAATGCAGGATGCGCCAGAGAGCTCTCGAGGACGAGCCCCCCCGAGCGCCCGAGGCATTGCAGCCGCTTGCTCCTGGCATCAGCGGGTGGGACAGGGTGGGAGCGCTGAAGCAGAGATGCCGCGCCGATGGGGGCCTTGAACAGCCGCGTGATTGCGAGGCGCCAGAAGACGCTCATGGAGCACGAGGCACGCGCAGATCACGGCGCTGCTCTGGTCGAGAGCTTGCTCGACGCAGTTCCAGCGCGCAGGACCTTCAAGCGCAACCTGCAGCCCTTGCCGAGCCACGGTGTCACCACTGGAAGCGCTCGCCTCCACTATCTCAAGTGGAACCCCGTGGGCGCCCTCGCCGCGGCAGGCAGGCCGTTGCGAGCGCCTCGCTCGAATGCGGCCGCCGTGGCCGCGAACGGTCGCTTGCGCGACCAATGGGCGGCGCTGCGCAAGCAGGTGGTTTCGGAGCCCGCGCCCGGAGTGCCGCGCGCGGGTTTCACGAGCGCTTTGAAACAAAACAACAGGGGTGAGGGGGGGGGGGGGGGGGGGGGGGGGGGGGGGGGGGGGTGGGGGGGGGGGCGAGGACAATCAGGGGGGGCGGGGGGCTGGGCGAGGACTGGAGGGCAGGAGGAGGAGAAGCGCGAACTTCGAAGATTGGGGGAATGATTAGAGGGGGGTGCTCAAACACTCCAGCAAATACTCCTCACCGCCTGGTGGTAAACACCGCCCTCAAATCCTGGTTTCACCCCGAGAGGCGAAGACGAGCTTGTGTTTCTTTGTTGGGACGTGCATATGTCGACGAGGGCCGCAGAGACACCTCGGCGTCATGGGCGACAATGTTCGGAAGTGTTCGAGGCTATCGCTGAAACGCAAGGTGCAGCGCCAGCCCCATCCAGGTGGGCGCTTTTGCTGCTCTCTTCGTCGGCCCCGAGGTGGGCGAGGAGGCAGGCGGCGAAGCTCCTGCGCCGCCCCCTGAGCCGTCGCATTACATGTGGAGGCACATTGGATTCACGTCGCTCTCGCCTGTGTGCCCCCAGTGGCATCATTGTGTTTCGCCTGCTAAGCCATCGCTCGCGGACCGTCTTGCATCTGAGCATGAGTTGACTTCTTTGTACGACGCCGACGCATTCTGGCTAGGATTGAAATGCTTGGACCAGCAAATGCGTCGGGATATGGCATTGTTCGAGCTGGTCAGTGACGCTTACATGCCTGGGAATCTGGTGCCCAACGTGTGCACAGTGAAGCCGTTGTTAAATGGAGAGGCGCAGCTACACCTTGTGTGGGACCTGAGGCGGAGAAGAAAGCAAAAAAGGTGGCAGTGCTTGGGGGTTCGACTGTGACGAGTAATTCAAGAGCAGCAGCGACGACGACAACGAGGAAGACGGCGATGACATCGTCATCGAGGCGGCCATCGAGGGCGGTGTTGGCGAGAGCGAGAGCGAGAGCGACGATGCCAGCCGTCTGGGTTCGGACGAGGGCAACGTGCACGGCGGCGCCAGGCACGGGGGCGACGGCGCTGCAGGCGGGGATGGACCTCCACCTGAGCTGGCAGAGGCAGACGGCGCGGCAGAAGCCGCCGCTGCGGCAGCTGCAGGGGTGCCAATTTCGATTGAGGTTCCCCTGCATGGTCGCATCATTTTTCTATCCCTCCAAGAGTGAGTTGTACGCTGTGTGCGACCGTTGCGTTGGCAAGTGCGCGTTGACTCGGGTGAACTACGGGGGTAATAGGCCCCCGCAGGGGCGCCCACTAGGTTTTTTGATGGCTTTCCTGACCTCGCCTGGGGGCATCAGGCCGTCGCTTGCTCACCCTGCCACTCACAAGAAGGAGTTTAACAAATCGTTTGAAAACCGAGACGCTAAGAGAGACGAGCTCATGGGAATTTACGTTGCTGGACTGTTGTTTTCCAAAGAGAGGGGTCGGCGCGGGAGCGAGGGTCCTGAGCCCACGGCCTGCCCCTAGCAAAGCAAAACATGCGTGCGCCAATGTCGCCTCGCTCCTTGTCCTGGCATCGCTCCTCCCCGCTCTGATTCAGGCGTGGTCTGCATCCTTCCTATTGCGACCACCAACAACATGTCCAAGGGTCGCGCATCTGGATTTATTTGGAGCCGGCGCTGGTTGCCACGCAATTAAAGAACCGTAGCGCGCGAGTTCACCAAGACTAGGTATACGGGACAGCGTGCATGTGGAGCACAACATTTCCAGGGGCGCGTTCTGGCAACCGCAGTTTGGATTTCGAGGTCGGCCGAGCTATATTGTGGATCGGTCTGGGGGCCCGTCGCAGTGCGCTTCTTCCAGGGGCGCCTGATTGCCTATGTCGCCATCTCCGATGGCTATCCCCAGTTGTCTCGCTGCCGTTCTAGCAGCGAGATCAGATTTGCGCCATTCCGTATCAGTTATTACGTTCTGATACCACGTTATCGCGTCCATGTCCCAGCTTCCGCATGGCGCCGGGGCCTCGCCGATCAATTTGCTCAAAATAAAGGGCTCGACACTTCGGCTCGCTGCGATCGTGGATGGTCTCCCCCGTCAGCTCGAGGGCAAGTTGCGCTTCTCTCTTCCAGCTGAGATCTCCATCACAACAAAGAGTCCGACAACGCCTCCAAACCAGGATGACGAGGGTCCACAGCGGTCAGTCGCAGCTGCTAGTTCGGAACCCGTGGCAACCAAGGGTCCACTATCGAAAAAGACGAGGCTGCAGGAGCACTCGTCCTCAGATGTGGAGGTGACAGGCGCTAGTTTTGTTGATCCCAAGAAGCAGCCTGATGCCTCGCCGAATTAGCCGTCGTTGGCGTCGGGCCCTTGCTTACATCCTTCTCCAATGCAGCAGTCTCCATCGGCAATTGCTAAGTCTTCGGCCGTCTTACCCGTTCCCCAGCCGCCGCCCGAGCGCCCGACCCCAGCGTTGCTTGAGGAGGGGTCCCTGAATGTTCGTGGGCATGCTGCAGGAGCATGCGCACCCACAATCTTAGTAGAGGAGTCCCAGCAGGCCAATGAAGAAGTTGGGATGGGCAGCGTGGCTCCCGCCCGTTTCCCAGCCGCCGCCCGAGCGCCCGACCCCAGTGTTGCTTGAGGAGGGGTCCCTGAATGTTCGTGGGCATGCTGCAGGAGCATGCGCACCCACAATCTTAGTAGAGGAGTCCCAGCAGGCCAATGAAGAAGTTGGGATGGGCAGCGTGGCCCCCGACGCGAAGTGTCCAGCGTCCAATGTCCAGCGCCCAATGTTTCCCAAGCTTGCCTCGGGGATTTTAACGGCAGCCAGCGGCGAGGCGGCAGCCGGCAGTTTGACGCAGCCAGCAGATTCGCAGCCAGCCACTCAGGAAGAGATTGGTACGCTGGTTGAGCAGGGCCAGGACCCACACGACACGCTCTTTGAAAGCGGTCTGTTTGAAGGTTCTTGCCCGCGTACGTTTCGGCAAGCGGTCCATGGCTGCGAAATGACGGGGGAGGAGGACATGAAGGGGTGCATAAACGATCGCTGGATGAACGAGGCATGAGGAAGAGGAGTACGAGGGGGAGAAACGAGGAAGTCACGAATTCATATCCATAAGTTTTTGATGGTTTGTGCATTGTGAGCATCCAGGGCCCCAGAGTGCTAAGACCAGAGTACCTGCGTGCCACCAGGGTATGTTGTGTGCCAGAAGCAGAACCAGAGCTCTTGCAATATTGCACAACCAGAGCTCCTGTGTGCCAAAACGGGCCTTGTTATCGCCCACCTTCCTCTGCGTCGTCGTCGTCGTCGTCCTCGTATGGGGTCCCTCCTCGTCGCCGCCCTCGTCGTCCTCAGCCTCAGTCTCGTCGTCCTCGTCGCCGTCGCCGTTGGGGCCTCATGGGCCAGTCTTGGGGGCCGCGTATGTCATAGGCCAATCGTGGGGGCACACTGAAGGCCCCCCCCCCGTCACCAGCCCCCCTGGCTCGAAGCGGCGCGGCGCCTACAAGAGCCACGCACCGCGCGCGACAGCAGCGCCGAGCGCCAGCGCCAACGCCGACGCCAGCACCGACGCCATGGCGAGGTCGGGGACCAGCAATGTCAACGAGACCAGCTACATCGTCTCGGACCAGGAGCAGAAGCAGAAGCTCGCGATCTGGTTCGACGACCTCGGCACCAGCATGCCTTTATACGGGGCGACCGCCTTCGAGGGGGACTGACCGCATTTCGCCCAGGTGGGCGAGTTGAAGAAGGCGGTGGTCAACGAGCTGTCGTTCTACAACAAGTACGAGGTGACGAATTTGATTGCCTGCAAGGCGAGCTACTACAAGACGGCTGCGAAGGACATGCCCTCCCCGATAGAGACGGGCTGGGAGGTTGGAGACAGCGGCCTGCCAGACTCTTTCGCCATCAATGACCACGCTGAGGTCATCGCGGCGCTGGGCTCGACTGTTCGCGCCATAGCCCTAGGCCCGTGCGACTTCACGGGGCACGACGCGGACTTGCTAGACGAGGAGAAGTCGCAGCCCCACATGGAGTCGAATACCGACTACGAGAAGTTCCCCATTTGTAAGCAATTTCTGGCCAAGCTGTCGGGGCCGAACTGCGACGCCTTCTCCAAGGGCTACGACATCGGCTACGGGGCAGCCCTGGTTGCCACAATGCAGCCTTGGAGCCAGCTGGGGACGATGGACTTGGGTGACGGGCAGAAGGCGACAATCCAGTACGTGATATCGGGGACGAGCAGCACGGGATCTCCTGCGGCGGCAGCTCCGACTTCGGTTACGGCGGCAAGCCGCACCGCACTTCCTACGGCGAAGGGTCCGACTTCGGCTACGGCTGCAGCTTCGAAGGGCGATCCGAACGAGAGTTCCCGCGAGTCCAACAGGTCGTGGAATAAGATCGATTGGGGCCATCAGCCCTGAGGTGAGCAGAGCTCTGCCGTTTGCGGCTTTGCCCGTCGCCGTTCGGGCCTTGCGCTGCACGAGCGCCCGCAGGAGCGCCGACGCCAGCGTCGACCTCAGACCCGAGGCCACCTTCGATTCACCATAAGAGCGCCGTGCTCCATGCCTGTGAGGAGCAACAACAAGTGCCAGACGTGTCTGGAGGGCTCCTTACTGGCCAGGGTGAGGGGGCCGAACGGCGATGCATGGCCCCTGGGCTCCTTGTTGGCCCCCTGGGGCCCCCTCCTTTGGACTCCAGCCCATCGAGGCGCCTCCCATCGGGGCTCCTTTGGGCCACTCCTTCGGGTTCCAGTGGGCCTCCCTTGGGGCCGCTCCCTTGGGGTTCCTTTCGGCCACTCCTAGGGGGCTTATTCCTTGGGCCCCCCCCTTGGTGCCTTGGTGCTCCCTCGGGGCCACTCCCTTGGGCTTTCCTTGGGCCTCCCTTGGGGCCACTCCCTGGGGTCCATTCCCTTGGGGCCACTCCTTTGGGGCTCCCTTGCGGCCACTCCCTTGGGGCCACTCCCTAGGGGCTCCCTTGGGGCCACTCCCTCGGGGCTCCCTTGCGGCCACTCCTTTGGGCCACTCCTAGGCCACTCCCTTGGGGCGGCTCATTTGGGCCTTCCTTGGGGCCCCTCTGGGCCGCCCGCGCCGCCGCGGGGGTTCGTCCGCGGAGGAACTTCGCGACGTGCGGGAGCAGTCGGGCCGTCGCGGCGGACGAACTTTCAAATTTCGCAAGGGCCCCTGACCCTCAGAATTTCAACATTGGAAAACTTTTTCGTTTTCACGTTTTTAGGGGGGGATTTCAACTCGGGAAGAACTGTTCTGCGTCCGCGGTCTTAGGTACAAACAAGAAAATCAACCCCGGAAGAACCCCGGAAGAACTCCGGAATAATTTTGTTGACCAAATTTCAACTCCGGAAGAATGTTTTTCGACAGCACGATTTCAGAGGAAAAATTCAACTCCGGAAGAATTTTTTCGACAGCACGATTTCAGGAGGGAAAAATCACCTCGGTATGATTTTTGTCGTTTTCATGGGTGCAGGAGTGAAATCGCGCTCCCGCACCCCGATGTTCCCCTCACGTTCTTCCCCCGTCGCCCAGCAACATTGCAACTCCCCCGCGGGGCTTCGGGCGGGCCCCTGCACCAATCCCCCCCCGCGCCCCTTGCACTTCCAGATTTTTGCATCCTGAACCACCCTCTCACAACGCTGCCCGTGCACAAGCTGCCGCGACAATGTTTAATTTTCGCTATCTACCCGGGGGGGGGGTCTTTGAGGCCCCTGGGGCTTTAAATTTTCGCAATCTACCCCCCCCCTCTCCTTCCCCCCCCCCCCCCGCCCGCCGATCCCAGCGCGCCCTGCGGGGCCCGCCCGCGGGCTGCCCTGGGTCTGGAGAGGGCCCCAGTACGGCTCCAATAGGACACCATGAGGGGCCCAAGAGTGCTGCGCGGCGTGAAATATTATCGGTGCACTCTTGGAGCCATCTCAGACCGTCTCGGAGCCAGCTGAGGGCGCCGTGAAGCCCTGAGAAGACCCCCGACCAGGGCCCCAGGGGTTCGGGCCTCGTTCTGGCCCCGAGAAGGTGAGCCCCCCTGAGCTCTCTGAGTCCTCTGAGCCCTATGAACCCTATGAGCCCGCTGAGTGCGATGAGCCCTCTGACCCCTCCAGCCCTCTGACCCCCCTGAGCCCTTCGAGCCCATCTGAGCCCTCTGAGCCCTCTGAGCCTTCTGAGCTTTCTGAGCCCTCTGAGCCCCCTGAGCCCTCTGAGACCCCTGAGATTCATGAGCCCTCGGAGCCCTCTCAGGCCCCTGAGCCCTCTGGGCCCTCTGAGCCCCCCGAGCCCCCTGAGCCTTCCGAGCCTTCTGAATCCTCTGAGCCTCCCTGAGCCCACTGAGCCCTCTGAGCGTTCCGAGTCCACTGAGCCCGATGAACCCTCTGAGCCCCATGAATTCCATGGGCCCCCCTTTAAGCTCGATGGGCCCTCTGAGCTCTCTGAGCCATATGAGCCCCAAGAATCCCCTGAGCCCTCTGAGATCCCTGAGCCCCCATTCAGCGCTCTGAACCTTCTGAGCCCCCTGAGCCCTCCGATGCCTCGAGCTCTCCGAGCCCTCCGAGTCCTTTGGGCCCGATGAGCCCGATGAGCCCTGATATGGGTAACGAATTGAATGATAAGCTAGATACATGGACCTACACACACTTACCAACATATACAAAACCACAATAGGGGACAGTAGCCTAAAACATTGCGAGTGTTGTCTTTTGGTCGTCTCGATGGTTATCCCGATGGTTGCCCCTATTGTTGCCCTGATGTCTGAGCCCCCGAATCGTAGTGTCTCGGCCGCGCCCTTCCAGCCATAATCTTTTCAGCAGCGCTCCGATCAGAGATTCCACGTTCGAACAGCGCTCCAGCCAGAGTCTCTTCAGCAGCGTTCCATGGGGGAGTTCCAGCCAAGGCCCCCAGGTTCGAGCAGCCAGAGTTGTAGCCAAAGTTCCAGCCAGAGCTTCCAGGTTCGAGCAGCATCTTCTGCGGCAGCGCTCCAGCCATAGCATTCAGGCTCTGGCAGCGAGAGCCCGCGCATCTATTCCAACTTGGGCAAGCTTCCTGCCTCCGCATCTCTCCCCGCCGCGGCTCCGCGGAAGCCGACGGCGGCCGAAGCCAGGGCCCCTGCAGCGCCTGCGGCGCCCGAGGAGCTGGCCCCGAAACGTTTTGCCGCCAGCAAGGCGCCCGTGAAGCCCTTCGACCTGCGCGCGCTGGCGTCGGGCGACACGCCGCCCAATCGGGGCAATCTCGGAGGCCAGGGGGCCAAAGTTCCAGGGGGAGCAACTATTTGGAACCATGGCAGTCGGCGTCGTCGTCGGCGTCGTCGGCGCGGTCGTCTTCGCCGTCGTCGTCTGCCCCGAGATTTCGCCGCGCGACGTGGCGAGGGCGATGGCGGCGCTGAAAAACGTGACCATCAGAGAGCTGAGATCCATGGGCGTCGTCATCGCGCCTGGCATCGTCAAGATCTACGCCAAGAAGGTCGGGCCGAGCTCGGAGAAAACGATCGTGGATCGCTTTTTTCCCGCTTTTCAAGGAAGCGAGGAACGGGGAAGGAAAGAAGATGAGGAGAGAATGAAGATGAGGAGGAGAGGAAGAGGAGAGGATGAGGAGGGGATGAATGGGGGCGAGGGGGGGATGAGGGGGGGGCGCGATGAGCAGAGGATATGATATAACAAAGGCAGAATGAGGAGGGGAGGGTGAGGGGGGGTGAGGACGAGGACGAGGGCAACGTGATTGCATGAAAAACGATCTCCCAGATCAAGAACCGCTCGGCGACGATTCCAGCGCGCTACGGCCACTACCTCGCCAAGGCTTTCCCCCACGCCGACATCAAGCGCATCCCGCCGGCCCGGCCCGGCGCGCCTGTGGACGAGGCCGAGCACGGCCCCGAGGCCGATTCCTTCGGACCGAGCTCGGGCTCCGAGTGGTCGCCATGATTGCCACATCAGATTAGACACCATGGCGACCATGGCGACCGTTGCAGCCATAGGACATGGCAATCATGGCGACGATTCCAGCGAGCGGCGTTTTTACAGCAGCAAGCAGCCTGGAGTTTCTTGCCCGAGTACGTCTCTGCAAGCAGCCCGTGGCTGCGAAGCGGAGGGGGAGGGCGGGCACATGGGGTGCGTGTAGACGATGATTCGATGAACGAGGCATGAGGAACGAGGAGGAATTAGGAAGAATGAGGAGGAATGAGGAATGAGGGGCACGAGGGATGATGAACGAGGAAGTAACGAATCCATATCCACAAGTTGCTGCTGGGTTGCGCATTCTGCGCAGCCAGAGCTCTTGCAACATTGCTCGTCCAGGGCTCTTGCAATATTGCGTATCTTGCGTGCCAAGTGCAGAGCTCTTGCAATATTGCTCGTCCAGAATTCATGCGTGCCGAAACGGGCTTCGTTATCGCCCGCCCTCCTCTGCCTCGTCGTCCTCGTCGTCGCTGTCGTCGCGAAGGGGCCCCTCCTCTGACGTCCTGTGATTGCTCCTCGTTGGCTTTCGCATCTTACGATAGCGACTTCATTTCTATGTCGCGATACGCTGAATCATAGACATCACGCCACGCACGAAACATCACAATATGCTGAAGCATCAACAACACAATGCGCTGAAGCACCAACGCTTAGCGTCGAAGCGCCCTGGAGCCCCAAGTCGTTCCCTGTCCTTGTGGCCCCCCATCTTGGACCTCGTTTCGAGCTCCAGCCCATCGCCCCCCCCCCCCCCCCCCCCCCCCTCATGGACTCCAGCCCCTCAAGGCGCCCCCCTTGGGGCTACTTTGGGCCACTCCTTCGGGTTCCACCTTGGAGCCCGCCCCTCGTCGCTGCAGCGGGGGTCGTCGGCTCGGCCGCTGGAGCCGCGTCCCCCGTTATGCAAATTTGCACAAACCAGTGCAAGTGGCAGTAGTAGCAGTAGTAGTAGCAGTAGTAGTAGTAGTAGTAGTGGTAGGGGTAGTCGTGGTCGTAGTAGTAATAGTAGTAGTAGTAGTAGTAGTAGTAGTAGTAGTAGTAGTAGTAGTAGTAGTACTTGTTGTTGTTGCTGTATTAGTAGAGGTAGTAGTGCAAGCTCACTCGGTGGATCGGCGGTCGAACCCATCCCCCAATATGCGCGATGGTCCTCGTTGGCTGTTGCACCTTACGGTTGCGAGTTCATTCCTGCTTCGCGATGCGCTGAATCACAAGCATCGCAATGCGCACGAACCATCGCAACACGCTGAAACATCAACAACGACACAACACACGGAGTCACCAACGCTTCGCGTTTAAGCACCCTGGTTCCCCAAGTTCAAGTCGTTCCCATTCCTCGCGGCCCCCATCTGGGACCTCGTTTCGGGCCCCAGCCCATCGGGCCCCCCCCTCACTTGGACTCCAGCCCATCAAGGCGCCCCCCTTGGGGCCACTTTGGGCCACTC